CCTGCTGTGTCTAAAAGTAGCAGCAGCAGCAACCCAGACTGACAGCTCGTTGTCTAATTTGGATCATGTGCAGCCTGGTGCCTGACACTTTAGAGGGCTTTACCGTATTTACAGGAGGAGCGGCGCAAGTGAAGTTAGACACTGTTTTAAATCAGGTTGGGTCCGGATTGGCGAGCAGGTGGGTGCATGTTTGGAAGATCTAAAGACACAATCTCTGCAGAATGTGAGGACATTCTCACTAAACCTGAGGTCCAGCAAACCAGCTAATGAAAAGCACCTCCTGAGTTAGAAAGGTTAGAAAGGTAATGTTAGGTTTGAATTGAGAAAGCTTCCTGGAGGGGAAGCGAAACGTCTTCAAACCTTGGAAACCAAGTCCAGTGGATTTTTTTTAAAAAAAGTTTTACGGAATGACTATGACCTGGATGACTGAGAATCTTCATCAGCTCATATGTTAGGTTTTTGTCTTTGCTTATGAAACAAAAAGGTCACAACAAAGATTTCAGAATGTTTGTAGCCAATTAAAGATCAATCTGGAACTAGGAACTGGGAGATTAAAATGAAGCTGGCACCATGATGGGAGAAAGCAGTCATCAGATAAGCTGAAACAATACCACCATTCATGTGGGAGTGACGTCCAACTGAAACAGTCAAATCAGCCTCCCATGCAGACTCATATGTCCCTGCAGATGAGCATGTTGCAGCACCTCTGCTCACTCAGCTCCTGACACGCGGTTGAGAATGGCGAAGAAGTCTACGGTCGACCTGCAGATGCTGGAGGCAGACGGAGGCCTGAAGGAGCTGGTGCTGAGGTGGTTCCGCGACACTCAGGCGCAGCTCATCCTGCAAAATGGAAACTTCCCCAACTGGTTCCAGGGCCTCGCTGCAAGAAAGTAAGCAACACAGAAAAGCTCTGCTGGTGAGCCGCTAGGAAGGAGGAACACAGGAACACAAGATTAATAAATGTTTAAACTGGTTTTTAAAGTTTCTGAGAACATTTGGTGGTGAAACGTTTGCTGTTGTAAAGGGTTAAAGTTATTTGTACCATAAGTCTTTGACAGTTTCAGTCACATGGTAACCGCTTTCTTTTTCGTAATTCATATCAGCAGATATGTTAAAGTTAACTATTGACCTTATAAATGACTCATTTAACAAGCAGGCTGTAGGTTCTTCTATTTATGGAACATTGAGGGTTTAAGGAGAATCTTTGAGCATTTTATTCATAGATATGACATGAATCATACATTTATAGATATGAATAAAATGGTGAAATATAAAACAAAAAGATTCTAAAGCAAAAAATCACTAAAATTAAAGGAGAACATCATAAGTTATTTATCAAAAACTGAACCTGAATGTAAAAACATGAAGCAAAGTTGATCCAGCAGATTATAGAACCTCATCAGCAACTTATGAGGGAACAGAATAAAAGAATAGATGAAAATAAATGAATGAATAAAATGGGGTAACAGATAACTGGTAATAATTTAGCCTCAAATCTGTGGCGCCATGTGGAGATTTGAAAGCTGCAGATGAAAACTCTGATCCAATCTTAGTACAGCAGGAGCTAACAGTGTAGCACCTCTGTTTTTAATGGAGATAAAGTCAGATGTATCAAGTATTTAAGGTAGACAGACATTCAAAATTTAAAAACTGCAGATCTGCAGGAGTAGATCTAAGGCGTCTAAGGCAGGGATCTCTGCAGAAAGAAAACACAGGTTAGTGACCACGTAAATCTGATGGAGGATGATTATGGATATGTGAGTCACTAACCTGGTTTTTAAGTTCAGTCTGTATCCAGAGGATCCAGCCGGTTGGCAGACATCAAGACGCGGAGGGCAATGCCCAGAGAGTGCCAGGTGCTGTAGTTCCAGAGAACGGAGAGCAAGAAGGAGACCAGATCTGAAGGAAGGCAGGATAATCCAGAGGGCGAAGCCAAAGCCAGTATCAAGAATGTATTCAGGATTCAGAAACAGGAGATCAGGGATCCGAAGAGGTTCCAAACTGAAATCCAGGGCATGACAGGAAGCAGTCATATTCCAGGAGGAGTCCAACAGATCGGACGGAAACAGACAGGCTCAGTGGTTGAGAGGCAGAACAGGTCAGGATCAGGTAATCTGAAACACTTAGCTAATGCTGGAACACTCTCACCACTGGCTGTAGAATAATCTGGCACTGACGACTGGTTTGAGAGCTGGTTAAATACAAGCAGGAGCAGGTGGATCAGATGAACAGTAATTAGAAAATGGGCAGAGTTAGGCAGGTTAATGAAATTATTAATCCAGCAAGTCATCAGTGCCAAGACCATGAAACATCCACTTTAAAGGAAAACAAATATAATTACGGTTTACGTGCCAGGTCACATCATCATACAAAGCTGATTCAGATTGATTATTTTCAGTAGACAAACCAGAACAGGGGCCAGGACCAGTTCTACGGGACCACTGGCCCCTGGAGGCCCCTCACCCATGTCAACAGCATTTTAATGAAGATCTGGACCTGGACTAGGCAATCTCAGTTCCTGGAATCTTTTATCCAAATATGTTTTAGATCACCTGCTGTACTCGGGAAGGTGACTAGAAGCTTCAGATCAACTCTGACTCTAATGGACTTCAGGTAAAAGTGGGAATGGGCTTAGAATGATGAGCAGGAACAGTTTCATCTCTGAGATCACTGTCTTTCTTTCCTGGTGCTGTGGTAAAACCCTGCTGCCTGCTACAAGCTGAATAAACTCACTGATGAGTAAAGCTTTGCAGCACCTGGTTGCTACTTTCTCTTTAGCAGAAGCTGTAAGCATTACAGATGGACTTCTTATTCACTGCTTCTGATGCCAAAGCTTTTACAATTGTTCCTCAGAATAAGGCCCTGTTCTTTTGGTAGTTTCTCTTCAACGTGTTCAGTCCAACATTGAGGAAGGAGACCTGTATGCCAGCTGCCAGAACATGTTTACTCCCTGAGAGTGACTGAAGTGTGAATGAGCGTTATCAGTGAGCCGTGCCTCCATGACGTGGCTGGGATATTTTTGAATCTAATTTGCCTGCAGGTCTGGTTAAGTGCTTCTTTCCCACTGTGCTGCAGGGAAGCAGAAGATGTACTGAGAGATAAAGCTCTGGGCTGCTTTCTCATCCGCCTCAGTGATAAAGCCATTGGCTACATCCTGTCCTACAAGTGAGGAACATAGTGTCTAAGTCTTTGTTGGAATGTTTCTCTCCCGTCTCTCTGATTTAATGATTGTCCTCCCACCCAGAGGCCATGACAGGTGTCGCCATTTTGTAATTTCCCAAAATCCAGATGGCCAGTTTGTGATATCTGGGGACTGTCAGCTGTTTGGCAGTCTGACTGAGCTGATAGAGCATTACAAGGTCAGCCCCATTCAGCCGTTTGGAGAGTACCTCACCTCCAGCTGCTGCCAGGTAGGACATCAAACTTTCTGGAAAATATAAGCGAATTAAACCGGCTAAAATCCGTGTTATTAAGGTGGTTTTCATTCCTTGTTCATTTTAATTTTAAATTACTTCAAGGTAAAATCTTTTGTTTTATATTTGACGATTTAAATTACAAATGTGCAATTATTGGTTAACCAGAGAGTTAAATAAATAATCTTAAAACAGAAAAGGGAATTCGGAGCCACATTAGCAGAAAAAACAAAGTAAATATATATGATGTTAGTCTATGCATCAAGATCTTCTTTGCCAATATTTGAAGTTTTAACAAGCTTTGGGCTTAACATAAAGAAAAATCATTAGTGGGGCGTGCTGGTGTTATAATTTCAAACCATCCAGTTTCACAAAAGCTAACAACATTTACTTTGTCACTTTGATAAATTTATTTTTACAGTCAAAGACATATTTTCACAGAAAGTAGGATTATATCTTTAGATGTTTGATTGAATGTTTAGTATCTCATGCTGGTTTTTAAGGATAAAGCATATTCATGTAACACATATGTACCAAATAGGATCCATGAATTTAGCCTAATGAACCTTTAAAGACGATGCATAATTTCTCTCTGACTGACAGAACTGACCTTGGCACCCGAATAGAGTTTAGTCATTCATAATTACTCTGGTTTAACTTTTTTGAACAGCCAGGCTTTCTGTCATTCAGTGAACAAGAGATGCAGGTCAGTCTTTTGTCTGAAGCATTTCGCTGAATAACTTGTCTGGTTTCTACATCGGACCAGTTTATTAAAATATATACTACTTCACTCTGATTCATTTTTTATTTTTGTAGAAAAATGAACCAGTTTAGTTTTTACACATGGAAAATGTCAGCCTTGTGTTAGGCCTGTGTGTTATTGTTTGTGTCCTTCAGATTGCAATAGATCAGCAATTTCATAGGACTCTGCCATCTTTCTAGTTATTTCTTAAGACCAGCTGCATCATGGTTGCATCCATGCAGGATAAATTAGGAAGCTACTGCCTTTTGCTGCATGAACATTTTCTAAAGTGAGAATTTAAAGTCTTATAAAGTAGTTGATAAATACTGACAGGGTCATCATAGTGGGGGATTTTAACATCAATGCTGACATTGAAGGTAAACGCTTAAGTGCAGCCTTGAATGCTATCTTAGATGCTATTGGCTTTGTTCAAAATGTGAATAGTCCCACATATTCTAATCTTCATACTTTGGACCTTGTGCAATAACAGTATTTCTTCACAACCCTGTCCTCTCTGACCACTTTTTAATAACCACTTTTTTTCACATTAGCAGATCATTATCAGATAATGCAGTTATAAATTTTAAAGAAACTGTTTCACTTTCTCCCTCCTCTGTGTCGCTGAGCAGTGCTGCACAGGGCAACAGTTTAGTTTATTCCCCTTCACAGGTTAATGATTTTGTTGATGGGGTTGCTAGTTCTCCGCGTACTGCCTTAGACAATGCTGCCCCTATGAGCAAGAAAAACCTTAAAAAACAGAAAGCTGGCTCCCTGGTTTAATGCAGAGCTGTACACTGTACAAAATCCTAGGAAACTGGAGAGAAAATGGTGTTCTACATGCCAACGGGAATCCTACCTAGTCTGGAAAAATAGTTTACTGCTATATAAGAGGACCCTTCGTAAAGCAAGTGTAGCATATTTCTCCTCATTAATAGAGGAGAATATAGATAATCCTAGATTTCTTTTTAATACAGTTGCCAAACTCACCCAGAGCCATAGCTCTGTTGAACTGTCCATCCCACCTGCTCTTAGCAGTGATGGTTTTATGGGATTCTTTATAAATAAGAGTGATTCTATTAAAAATTAGATCATTATTACTCCCCTAATTGTGATTGGTTTGTCTCTGGAAGGTGAGGCAGCATCTGAGGTAGCTATAGAAACTAATGTCTTCATCTAAGCCTTTAACTTGTATGTTAGATCCAGTTCCAACCAGGTTATTTAAGGACGTATTACATTTGATCTCCTCCTCCATTTTAGATGGGATTAATCTATTCCTGTTACAGGGATATGTATCAAAGACTTTAAGGTAGAATTTAACCTTTACTTAAGAAAAAAAACTCTTGACCCAGATGACTTGATCAAATATAGACTTATATCCAATCTTCCTTCCTTATCTAAAATTCTTGAGAAAGTAGTTGCCACACAAGTTTGCGACCACTTACACCTTAATGAACTTTTTGAAGAGTTTCAGTCTGGCTTTAGAGCTCATCATAGCACTGAAACAGCTCTGGTGAAAGTCACTAATGATATTATCATGGCCTCAGATAATGGACTTGTATCTGTGCTCGTCCTGTTGGATCTCAGTCCTGCATTTGATCCAGTTGATCATAATATTCTTTTAGAAAGACTTGAATATTTTTGCAGGAATTAAAGGAACAGCACTAGACTCCTTGAAATCATGTCTATCTGACCTATTTCAGTTTGTTAACGTTAATGACAATTCTTCATGCTCAAAGTTACCTGTGGAGTACCACAGGGATCAGTGCTAGGACCAATTCTCTTTACTAAATATATGCTCCCAAGCGGTAGAGTTATTAGACAGCATGATATTTATTTCCACTTTTATGCTGATGATACTCAGCTATATCTGTCTATAAATCCTGATGAACCTCATTACATAGATTACAGGCATGTCAGCTCTGTGGAGCTGGTTGAAAGTTTCCTTTTTTATCTCTGCCTCTTCTTCTATGTCTGCTTTCACACTGTGCCTGGTTCTGGTTCTGCTGGAGTTTTTTTCTTGTTCAATGGGAATTTTCCTCTCCTCTGTTGCTACAAGCATGCTTGGTGTGAGTAAAGAGTCAATGAGTCGATGCAATCAGCTGATTTTCCTTAGATAAAAAACTTTGA